TACTTTGGACGCGCGCAATGCTCAAGGACATGGGTCAAGAACAAGTGGGAGGTACGCAACTATGGAAAGACAATTAAGGTGTGATAGCTTTGGCAAACAATGCGGGCTACCACGCTCGTACAAAGCACGTGGACATTCGATATCACTTTATTCGAGGGAATGTTCAGCATGGGTAACTCAAGATTGGCTACATCGATACGAAGAGTCAGCTTGCAGATATGCTTATCAAGGCATTTGGGACCAAGATGCTCAAGTTTCTGCGAGAGGCAACAGGCCCAAGACCAAGTCACCAAAGCACACTCAACATTAACGGTGAGTGGGAGTGTTAATTTTACACCGCTGAATGCATGTGGATGACGTCACGAGGAATACGATCATGTTTGCAATTACTGTCTTTGTTACGGATGCTGATTACGCATTTAATGGTAGTCATTCGTTGGTCTAATTTTTTATATAGTTACATTAAGAAGCTTTAAGATAGATCTAGGAAGACAGGCTTAGAGGTAGCACAGAGTAGTGAAGTCAGGACCTAAATATATTCACTTCGGTTTTTGCCATCTTCTCAACAATTTACGAAGTGTGAACCGAGCACATTACACCAAAATCATCAAGGAGCTTCGGTGCATCAGAGCTTGATAAACTCAAGATAATGGACTAAAGCGAGCTATGTTGTGTAGAATGGTGAGACAACATCCAACTCCTCGATGAGCGGCATTTAAAGTCTGCTTGTAATAAAAAAGGTGTAACTTTAGCGTATCTACTGCAAACTCTCTCGGGAACATTTTGTGTATAAAAATTATAATTCAGAAGAAATTGACATAAACTTTGACATATTTCTATATGATATGAGATTTTTACTTTTCTTTTCTTACATAAAAGCAAGTAGCATGCCTTTTGATAGTTTGTGTGTTTGTTGACCAATATGCTTTTCTCTTGATTTCAGAATGTGCGTAGATCATTTTTTCTTGAATTCAATTTCTGTTGGTTTTAGTAATGGGATAGGTCTGCACTCCAGGATTTGTTGATTAGTTTGCACGATCCCGTGTCTAAGTCCTGACCAATAATCATAGCCTCATTAGTTGAGTCAATATAATGAAAGAAGATGATTACACATACAAGCCGTAAGACATACCTTTATTAAACTCTTCCTATCTGGAAAAAGTACAAGTCATACTATCGCGTTGCAAGTAGCTAAATTACGTATCAAGGTTGCTTAAAATGTTGCTCAGTCAAGCGTAACATTTGACTGGGTCGCTACATTACCAGTGGTGGATCGAAGCAACAAAAGACACTTGTAACACGGCTGAACTGTGGTATCACAGCAACCGAAAGATGATAGAACTTCATTTTAGCAACTTAATAGACTGATTCTCAACAGCAGGCTAGACAGCCCACAACGCAAAGTCACAGATCAAAGAATCTCACGTATAAAATATTGACAAAAATGCTAATTAATTTTGGAGCTTGTGTTTCCAAGTTTGTAAGTTCCGTCTGGTCGAAGATCTGATTTGAAATCACGATCCTACCCGTCCATGGCATTCTGACGTCACTGTCTCGCCACGTTTCTACTTAGGATAAAAATGATTTTTTTATTAGTCCATGAGATACCAGAAATTAGCCCCTAAGCCTAAGAGAGCATCTATTTCTTCTGATTCCTGCACTTAGCTTTTTTTAAATATTTTTGATTAGCTGCTATGTCGAAAGATCAGATTGGAAGTAACAGCAGCGATGACAGCTGCGCTGGGTCCAAGTGATCAGCTTAAAAGTAGCCAACGAACGTCCTTTCCTGGTAGTAAAGATGGTATCAGCCCTTCTCTTGAATGGATGGGGTTCTTTTGATCGCTACTAAAAGCTTTTTATAAATACCTGCTATGTCAAAAGACCACCTTAAAGGAAGCTTACCAATGTTTTCTCCCTGGCAGCAGGTACTTGCCCCTTCCTTTTATCTTTGGGCTCCTCATTTCCTTGTTATCGCTTCACTCAGCTTAACACCTTAGTCTCAAGCTTCTTCAACGCATGTCCACTGCTCTCAGAGCTAATTTTGCGACAGACAATTATCTATGACCTTTTAGCCTTTCAGAAGAAGCCTCCTTAATTTATCCTAGAATTATGCTTTAGAGCACCCGTAATTCTGCGTTAAGACAGACCCATTTTAGACTGTTTACCTGTCGATTTAGCTAAATATAGGACGGCTATCCTCCACAATTGTTAATTACTAATTCTGCCTACTTAAATTGTTTGAGATTTTTTGCTATAAACTAATACATACAAAATTTGCTTCAAATACCGGGCTAGGATACCGGTAAATCCTATTAATCACATTTTCAAAAAGCTATCAGCCAACAATGTACCAGTTTCTCGCTCTGCTTACTATCATCACTCGGTCTGCAGGTGCAGAAGATTATCCGCTGCCAGTATCAAACTTACAAATGATACTAGTCAATATCCACCGCAGGATCTCGCTCACATAAGAGTCAACACGTCTTTAACTCATGAAATTGCGATCAAAAGAAGCACTACAGACGAGGAGAAAATGTTGGATCTCCGTGGTGTCAAGAAAATAATTTCTCGAGGATCACTTTCGAAGATGTTAGAAGCGTGGAATAAGATTGTGGATGTTAGGAAATGGAAGGATCATTCAGCGCGCTGGGACACTGGGATGATCAAAGATAAGGGAATTCCAAGTAGTGAAGAAACATCAAATCAGGTTCAAGACAGAAAGATTGACAAGATTATGCTGGCTATAAATGCACTGCCAACGTTCAGTAGAGCGCTGAAGCTATCTAATCGGGCTCGCGGTCCTTCCGGCTTGAACGTCCCCTTCTACTCGGGAAATGACTTCAAATACCAACAAACTGTGCTTGTCGAGACAGTGCTTAAATGGAGAGACGACAAATTTGACTTCACTGCATCGACCTCTCCGATATATCAGTATCATTTCTTGAAGAGTTGCTGGCTTTACAGAGTTAACCCATCCATAATTGAGATATTGCTGAGAGACAAAAATGGATTACTTGACGATATACATCTGGCAATGGTGGTGGAATATTTTGTACAATACAATAAAGCAGCTTCTGCTGGATTGATACCTGGACATTCATTACCCCAGTTTCTGTTGGAAGAGAGCGAATCGACTTTGTTTTTTAATCTATTGCCCATCCTTGATCTTAAGTTGCCTACACGCCGACCATTGATCTTTGACAAAATCTGGGAAACCGAGTTCGAAAGTCTGCGAGAGGAAACGCCTCGTCAACTCTATGAAGCATTCCCGCACATGTATCCTGACAAACCGACTGATGACAGCTTTATTCTAACTTTTATGCCAATGTACGTCGGTTTTTGTGAATATACTGCAGCATTCCGACATGGATCGGACAAGTACGGAATGGAAACACTACAAAGTTTTTACAGTGAGTCTGATTTGGTGAACTCTATCATTCCTACATTGCTCAACGATAATGATCAGTCAAAAGCTACCGCCGAACGACTCATTATTGGTCTTGTATCTTCTCTTTCGCAAGACAATACACATCCGGCTTATGTTCAGAAGATTCTCACGCGAACTGCC